CACACATTTTCAGAGATGATTGCTAAACAATTCGAGCAGTTTGTAAAAAAAAAAAAATCATTCCAATCATCAACTAATATGATCATTATTTTACCATTTATGCCATCAGTCAATGCAGAACTTGTCAATAATTAATGCCAAAGGAATCAGTGAGCAAGAAATCATAATCACTGGTAAAATTCCGGGAATTTTTTCTTCACAAAAACACACAAAATTCCATAAAATGTACAAATTTCCAACACAATCAATCAGTTGGAAATGCATTATCAAGTAATCAATGATCAGAGAGAAAGACGCGGCCAGAAAGTACTGACAAAATTTCTCGCACCGAATATATTGAGAATATTTCGAGGATTAATATGCAGCTGAAATCCTTCACCAATTTGGATTTCTCACGAAATCAGAGATTTGCTTCTTCACCGGCCTGCTGCTGTTTCTTCTGACCTTCTAAAATAGTATATCATGCATGAAAATCGAAAAAAAAAGCGAATAATGTGGGAAATACTGGCAAATCTGATTTAAAAAAACTATAAAAATCGTTCCGAAAACGGTTTTTTAAAAACGTGCTGCAATAAACAGAGCTTTTCGAGAACTAGAAACCGATACAAATTTACCTGCACTTTGAGCATCATTGTATTCTCCACCAACCACCTCTTTTCCATCAGCGTTTTCCTTGCCCGCATCAACATGACCAAGACCACTCAGACGCTTATCCAGCGCAGAATTCGAAACTTTCTTGACACCCAAAATATCTTCCAATTTTGACGATTCTAAAAAAAGAAATACCCTTTTGAAATTTTTTTTTTTTTGATCGCCAGCAAAGGAAAAATGCATTTTACGATTATATAAAGAAGCCTCTTCTTTGTTATTAGGATACCATACCGTGTTTAGGAATGGCAATATTCGAGATCGTGTTTGAATTGTGTTCAATCACACCAAACAGATCTCGAATCACAGCTAAAACTTTAGCAATTGCTTTTACCGGGAGAACCACAGCACTGGTAATTTCTACAAGAGACAGAACGAACGTTAGGATCGCCAGCAAGCTGAGCACTAGTAGGCATAAAACGTTAATCAGAGTAACTGGAAAAGCTGCTAGCTGCATACATGAAGGCGATTATACTTTGAGTAAGCAGCCGCTGTTCCAGTTATAAAGAGAATACATATAAAATTTCGATTATTTTCGGCTAACCCCTCAACCTCACCGCCCTTCCCTCGCCTTTTTTTCGCCATATTATTCAAGAGATGTCAAAAAAACAGAAATCCACAGCAGAAAAATGAAAAAAAAGGTACAGTGGTACACTGTGGCCCTAACAAAATAGCTATTAGAAGCTGAAATGAACATACCGCGTTGTTTCGTTGCCAGTGCATTTGCTTCACCAAATTTGCTTTCATTTATGGGCTTCGCTAATTGCTGCTGCTGCTGCTGCGGTGGTGGTGGTGCAAGAACATTCGCTTCATTATTCCGTTCCAGTACTAACTCAGACTCTAAAACCAACAAAACAGCATGCATTTTTAGGCAAAAAACTTCAGAAATGAGCAAAACATGTTGCAAATCCTTTTAAAAATCATAGAAAGACAAGAAAATTGAAGCCAGGCAACGCGGTTTACTGAATGATACCCACATAATGCTGAGACAGAACAAGGAAAAACGCTTGTGGAGTGAAAATTTCCAACTTGGCACCTCTCTGGAATTATCTGGACGGGGAAGGTTTGAGCTCGAAGTAACCGAGAAAGCTGTAAACTGCATAAAAACCGAGAACAAGACATCGAAACAATAGCCGATCAAAGCAGAAATAGATATTTCCCTGCCTATTTGCGATTTCGCAACTTCAAATTCGAAAAAAACCTTTTATATAGGCCTAATTCTAAGGCATAGGCAGACGAATGTCTTGGTGAGAGATTTAACAAAATTAGGCAAGAAAACTTACTGAAGAACTACAGCTAAAATTACATTTCACCTCCAATAATACAAATTTACAGAATTTAAATCCACCTTCCGTGTACATTCATCCCTGAGATGGGCGTAAGAAGGGTACATATTCGAAGAAGTAAAGCATTAGAACAACTTGTATCCGGTCCTACTCTTAAAAACTTTTGTCTTTCAAGCTTTTGTGAAGTTGTTTGTCAATAAATTTCCCTCAGAAATTTTTTTTTTTGATAACCTGCCGCTTAACTGAAAACACGTCAAACTGAACGATTCGCAAAATTAGAAGTATTCAGCAACGTACGTTGGGCTTCGG